CGCAGGGCCCGGCCAGGTCGGTCTGTCTGTGCGGCACGTGTGCGGGCGCGCACTGAGCCGGTCAGCGGAGGAATGCGCGCCGCGCGGCAGCGTCGCCTCCAGCTCACCAGGAGGAGACTTCTTCGTGACTAGAGAGAGGAACGCAGCCTGGCATTTTGTAGGTAGTGACCAGATGCGACCCTGAGGAAAAGTTTAAAAGCTGGGACAGCCAGTTGGTGACAAGAGGTCCTGGGGGCAGGACGCGGCCGTCAGCTCCACGTTCCCTGCTTCTCGCTGCCAGAGCGTTCTTGGTGGATCGCTGGCAGCTGAGGCGTGAGGCGGTCCCGACGTGCGGAATCCGAGTGGCTGACAGGGATGTACTGCCCTCCTCTGAGCACTGAGCAAGAGTCTTTCCTCGGATGCCACGGTCAAGCCCCTCGTGCACGTCGTCGCCTAACTGTTCTCCAATCGGTCTCCTTCGAGGCTCCCGACAATAAGCAATATTCTTGTGCTGACGGGGAAACCTCAAGGCTGCGAGCCGTTCTGCCAAAGTCAGTTTGGCAAAGGAGGAGGGGGCGCAGAGCTTCCGCCGGTGCAGAAGGGGTTTCTCCCGGACCCCTCCACATAGGCTGCACAGCGGGGGCTCAGCAGGCCGCCGGTGGGCCGGTCCTGCTCACCCCCATGGTCTCCTCGTCCTGGGGCCGCTTGGGGAGGGCCTTCTGGGCCCCGGCTGGCCGGGCTGTTTGAGATCATTCACGCCGAAGGACTGAATGAGAAAAAACTTCAATGAAGGAACCAAAGCGCCGTGCAGACGCGGGCACGCTCGGTTGCTCGCACAGTCTGACCTTGAACATGCAGGGTAACATCCCTGTACCGTTTCAGCTCCCAGAAAAAAGTGACAGATTTATTTAATCACTTTCCTGAAATCAGAGGAATCCTTACAGTAGTAATAGTAAATTATCCTCAGACTGACGCAAGCATCAGCGCTGGGGGGGAGGAGCTTCTTTGCTCGCCGGCAAAGCACTGTCTGTGAATCGCTGTGTTTGTGGATTCATTCGGGGAACAGTAGGCGGCTTTTGTTTTTGGAGCTGAAATTATGCAGAGTTATAGTCTCTGCTTCTCTCCTCTCAGCCCCGAGGAGAGACGAAGGCTGGGAGGGTCCGCTGTTCAGTGCTGAGCCGGGGGCACGCGGGGAGCAGGGACCCCTCCGGGCCCTGCAGCTGTGGGCCCCCCCGAAGGACAGCAAGTGTGTTTCCACCGACTGAGAGGCGCCGCCCTGAGGCCCCTCCTGGCTCAGCTGGAGACAGACTGTGAGGTTTGGGGCGGCGTTGGGTGAGGACCATAGAGATTCCGTTTGACCATGGCAGACCCCCCAGGCCTCAGTCCTGCAGCCCCTCCATCTTGGGGGGGCGGGGAGCTTGGTGACGGGGACCCGGGGATTTTCAGACAGGAGCGCACTGCACCTCCACGTGGGCCTCCCCTCTCTGTCCTCGCTGGTCTTGGCCCCCCCAGCTCTCCCAGTCCTCACACCCACGCCAGAACCCCAGACTGAGCCCCAGGCCCTCAGAGGTGCCCACATGTCCTCCAGGAAGGGAGGGAAGCCCTGTGTTGGCGACATCACCGTGGAGGAGGAGGAGGGCGGGACACAGGCGTCCGGTTCCAAAGAGTCCGAAGTGGGTGTTGCTGGTGGAGGCCTAGAGGGATCGACATCCCACCTGCCCGGGACCGAGGGGCTTCCTAGGGATGACCCCCTGCTAAACCAGGGGTGTCCAGGGCTCTGGCCCGGGTCCCTCACGTCCCACCAGGGGCCCTGGACCGAGTCCACCAGCTGCAGCTCCCTCCTCCACACCCTGCCAGCCTGTCCTGGTCCCTCGACGGCTGGGATGGGGCAGGGAGCTGGCAGTCATCACCCCCCCCCGAGACTCACCGCACGAGCCTGCGAGGGGCTGGCCTCACGCCACGTCTGTCGGTCTTGGGGTATTTTTAGCCGTAAGTGCACTGGGATGTGCATTAGTGGGGCCCAGACACTGACAAAGCTTCCCTGTTGATGGATCAGAGCTCTGGGCTTCCGTGTGAAGGTTTAATTTCACACGTTAAATAATTTACAGCTCTGGTGAGCAACTTAAGAGGTTACATCTGCAAATGCCAGTGTGTCTAATTTTTTAGGTTTTTTTTAAATTTGGTTTGAAAGAACAGAGTTAAAAGGAATCAGCTTTCAGGCTCTCTTCTCCCTCAGTTAATGGTTTATCTTCAGGAAGCTTGATGGAAGTTGCTTGGAGATGGTTGCAGGAAATAAAGCGGAAATTTGATACTCGCAGCCAAGAAAGAGAGAGCGCGGAGGGGGAGAAGAGGGAAGGGGACATGACGACAGCATGCGTGTTGTGCCGTGTGTGTGTGTGTGTGCTCCCCGAGCCCGTGGCACGGAGACGGAGACGTTGGGGCCCACTGGCTTCACCGGTTTGGAAAGCTTTTCTCTTTTGTGGGGAGGGGAGGTAAGCAGGTCTATTTGTTTACTATTTTTTTCATGGAGGTACCGAGAATCAAACCCAGGACCTCGTGACGCTAAGCACGCACCCCACCACTGGAGCTGAACCCCTCCTCACCAATTTGAGATAACATATTTTATACTTGGAAATGAGAGAGAACGTGTCATTCTGTTTACCTGGTATTTTGTCTAAAAGTGACCACACACACGTGACGGGGGTGAGAAAAAATGGCGAGTCGCGTCGCACTGCCTGCTGTGTCCGTCTTTCTCCCCGTGCCCCTCGCCCCTCCCGGACCCCCCGCCCGTGCTGGCCTCCCCTGGAGTCTGCAGAGGCCAGCAGGAGAAGGCAGATGCGGGGCTTCTCCAACCGACACCTTTCCTCTCCCAAGATGAAAGGCCGTCCGCACGTGACACGAACATGGAAAAATCAACGCGGCACCCACACTCCTGCTCAGAGAAACACAAAGGAGAAACCGAGAGTAACGGATAGCGAGGTGCTGCACCCCAATAACGTCAGTTCTCAGGCAAGGTCACAGGGGAAAGCGCGATGAAGTCGCCAGAGGCTCACTCACTTTAATGTATTTGCCTTGATTTTTAAAAACTAAGTTAGGAAGTGATACTGTTGAAGAAGCGGAGGAAATGGTAAAACAGGGGCACAGGACGAGGTCAAAGCAAGCGTGCACTGTGCGTGTGGAAGCCGCACACAGACACTCGCTCCACGTGTGACGTGACTCAGGTCTAGACTCAGACGATTAGGAAGAGGCCCTTCACAGGGTGGGCGTCCAGGGTGACGTGCAAGATGCCTCGAGGACAGGCAGCATCGTCAACCCACCCCAGTCATGGCGACAACCGAGACAGCCCACAGGGTCCCAGAGCACTCCCGGGAGGCACCCCCGCTTCTGGGGGATGAACTGATGGGAGCCATCTTTAAAAAGAAAAAAATTAAACCCTGTTGGTTTCCTTAAAATTCTAGACGTAATTCTAGACTGAACCATGACGAATCGCAAGTGATAAGAGCCATCCGTGTCCACAAATCTCCGTGATGTGACCCTGACCTTCGAGGCTGCTGCCTGACCTCCGCAATGGGCAGGCTTCAGGAGAGAACTCCCTTTAGGACAACCAGTTGGTCCTTACCCAGGACATCCCTGCAAGCCAGGCTGCTCAGCCCCAAGGCTCCTGACACTTCACACTGAAAACTCCCAGGGCTGCTCTGTGCCTGGCAGGTGTGTGGCAGCCTCCCTGGTCTCTGCCCCCCAGACGCCGGTGGCTACCCCCTCCCCCCATCACGAGGAGCGAATCTGTCTCCCAAGTCTTGTCAAACGTCCCCCAGAGACGCAGTCAGCCAGGCAGAGGGAAGGTGCTGTGAGCTATGTAATGTCCTCCTTTGGTCTCTGTTTGGTGCCTTTAGTGATTTCTTTTAAAAAGAGAATATGGTACATGGTGGTGGGGGAGGGCACAGCTCAGTGGTGGAGCGTGTGCTTAGCACGACGAGGTCCTGGGTTCCATCCCCAGTCCCTCCATTGATAAATAAATCAGGTCATTTGTGTCCCTTTTAGATTCCACATATGAGCGATCTCATATGGTATTTTTCTTTCTCTTTCTGGTTGACTTCACTTAGCATGGTGATCTCCAGGTTCATTCATCTTGCTGTAAATGGCATTATTTTATTCTTTTTCATGACTGAGTAGTATTCCATTGTATCTATAGATCACATCTTTATCCAGTCATCTGTTGATGGGCATCCGGATTGTTTCCATGTAAATAGTGCTGCTGTGAACATTGGGGTGCATGTGACTTTTTGAATTATATTTTTATCTACAAAATAAGATAAAATAAGATATCTTATCTACAAAACAGAAGCAGACTCACAGACATAGAGAACAAACATGGTTACCAGGGGGAATGGGGTGGGAAGGGATAAATTGGGAGCTTGAGATTTGCACCCCTTGAGGAGTGACGGGAATGTGAGCCGCCTTGCCTGTGGTGGCGGTTTCACCGAGTGTAGACATCTACCAAAGTTCATCAAATCGTGCATCTGAAATACACGTAGCTTACTGTATGGGAACCAGATCACAATAGACATGTTAAAAACTTAAAATTTTAATAAATACATAAATAAACAAATAAGAAGGAAAAAAGGAACACCCTGCACAGAAGCTCAGTCCACATCGTCAGAGCCGAGCCTGGCAGCCTGCACTGAGACCAGGAAGACGCTCTCAGAACTTCAAGAAAGTCGACCAAGGGAAAACGCCCATTTTCCTTCCTTTATTCTAATTAAGATCACCCATTGTTTTGTGTATGAGTTTGGCTGATATGAGTTTAGCGATTTTTTATGATTTTCTCAAGCAGTATGGGCGCTCATCCGTAGCAGCAGTAACACTGGACGGATGTCCTTTTGAAGCTTAAGGTTACAGGACTTTCAAAACCAGGCTTGATCAATACCACCATAATGAAGATTAAAATGTGATCTGGGTTTCTTAAGACACTATTGCAACAATTTATCATAACCAGTCAGGTAGTCGATATAAACAAAACTTACTGGGGAAAAACAATCCCCGGCTCATGTAATACAGATTCAATTGATTTAGTTTTATTATTAAAGAAACAAATGGACAATTTGTCAGAGTTAAATATTTATAGTTCCGACTTTACAGCCTGCGCTCTGCTGCATGTCCCCCGAAGCCAGGCACGCCCACCTGCTCCTGGTCTCAGTTTCCCCCCGAAGCAGCCCCCGAGCCAGCGGGGCGTGTGGCGCTCGGCGTGTTGTGTTTTCCTGGCTTTAGGGCTGTTTTTAAATTTCAGCCTTCGTTTGTCTCTACGCACCTTTTCAGTTTGTTCACAAACACCTTCCCACTAACTGTGTTTGTAAAGTAAGCGAGTAACCCCATTCTTCCCCGTCTGAGCGGTAGTATTTCCACAGTAGAGGAGGAGCTTGTGAAGGGACACCCACGGGGCTCGCTGCGCGGTCCTGTTCTCGCGTTTTACCCCATTTCACAGGAAGGAAGCGGAGGTCCGCCAAGCCCACAGGCGACATCTACAGCAGAACGGAGTGACAGGGTCTCCCCCAGCCCACCAGCAGCTGGAAAACCCACATGGTGTGCTTGTCTGCAGGCTAGACGTCAGAGCGGGGCAGGGCCGCCCGGCGGCCCTGAGGACAGGCCTGCAGGGCGGCCGGACGGGCAGAGCAGAGGCCCGGACACAGCGCGTCTGCAGGCTCCAGATTCCAGGCGGTTGCTAGGCGACCATGGCGGCATCTGAGCAGGTGTGGACCCCTGAGCCCCTGGGAAGTGCCCTCCGGCGTCCAGAGCAGCGCTGAGTGGCGTCCCAGCACAGAGAGGGTGGAGGGGAAGGAGGACCTGTGGAGGGGACGGGGTAGGGGGGAAGGCAGGTCTCAGGAAACCGGAAGCAGCGGCTTCTTTGCACTTTGTCAAAACCACGGAAGTTAGTAGACAAGGTGCCTTTCTGCCAACAAAGTAGATAACTTAGATGAAATGCACAGACTCCTAAAGAAACAGAAACTACTGAAAATGACTCAAAAAGTTACAGGAAATGTGAAGGCTTTTAACAAAGAGATTTCACCAGCACTTAAACCTTTCACAGCAAGAGACGCCCAGACTCAGACGTGGCTTCACAACTCCCAGAAAGGAAGAACCAAAACCAGCTCCTCTCAAGGAGGAGGAGGGAGGCCCTTCCTAACTCGCCCACGAGGCTGACGTCACCCCAACACCACGGCCGCGAAGACCGCGATCACGGAGAAAACGCCGAAAACAAAAAACTGCAGACCTACGTCCTTCATGGATATAAATGCAAAAACCCCCAGCAAAAGAGCAGCAAAGAGAAGTGTGCGCTGTGGCCAAGGGACACTTCTCCCAAGAATGGGAGTGGCTCGGCCTGCCAAAATCAATCCGTGCGACCAGTCACTTCAACAGAATCAAAGACAAAAGTCACGGGGTGCTCTCAGCTGACGTGCAGAAAGCGCTGGACAAAACCAACTCCTTTTCATAATTAAAGAAAGGGAAAACTTGAACTAGGGCTAGAAGGGACCGCCCTCAATCTGACAAAGGCCACCGGGAAAAGCCCAGAGTTGACAAGCCTGAGAGTGTCCCCACCGGGACCGGGACGAGGACCCCACTTTTGCCACCTCTATTCCCCATGGCAGCGGGGGGTCTAAGCGGGCAGTTAGGCAAGGAAGGCGGGGGCGGGGGAGAGAGACAAGGACAGGAGAGGAGAAGCAAGGTCACCTCCGCGTCTGAAATTCCGGAGGAGTCACCTGCGCGGTGGCGGGCGGGGCGGGCGGGGCGGGCACCGAGGGAAGAAGACAGTGAGCTGACAGCTGCTGAAGCTGCCTGACGGATACATTCTTTTCCCTAATGTTACATATGTTTAAAGTTTTGTATAATAAAGATTTTAAAACCCTTCACAACATTGTAAACTGACTATAATTCAACTTAGAAAAATCTCAACTGCTCTAACATTATAACAAAAGCGATGACACGTAGTCCCAGAAATTCCAGATACTGAGAAATCAAGAGGGGAAAGAGGGCGTTTAGAAAGAGCAGCCCCCCCCGCGCCCGTCCCGGGCAGGTGAGCGCCAGGTGCGTCTCCTCAGCAGGGCCTGAAGCTGCCTGCACGTTCGCAAGGTGGGAACCTGCGGCTGCCTGTTTACTCCACGCCTGCGACAAGGCATCCCGTGGACCTAGTTACCGGTCGTGCTTATCAAGATAACGCTCGGCAGCTCACACTTACAACAAACACTTTTGTAAAGATTTATGCTATTCCCACATTTTCCCAAGTCATTCTAGCTTGTGCGCGATTCACAGATTCATCCCCGCTCCTTCTTACCGACTTAAGCTGCAGTCGGCTCGGCCCCCATGTGGCTGTCCTCAGGGACACCCTCCAGGCTGGGTTGACACAGCACTTGTCACTGTCCTTCAGAGACTCGAACCCAGGGTCTCACCGTGTTCATGGTTAACAATCAAGTCAAGAAGAATAAAAGGAATTTTATTCCAGCAAACTGAGGATTACAGCCCAGGAAGCGGATTCTCAGGAGCTCTGAGAACCGTTCTGCCTGTTAGATGTCAGAGGCACAGTCAGGTACATCTCCGAGACAAAGGCGCGAACATCAAAATGACACAGCTGTACTTCACCTCCCTTCGCAAGGTGAGCACGCGCAAAGGCGCGGAGGGTCGCCACGGCCCCCAGGGCTGGGAAAGCAGGCTGTTCTTTCCAGAAGCTGCATTGCTGGCATCAGAAGAAAGAAAAAAGCTGCTCTTTAAGGCTGAGCAGGCACTCCCATGGCTGCGGCGCTCTGGCTAATGTTTGATGCGGACGTGCCCTGCGTGTTAGCGGGAGGACAGGAGGCCAAAGAGGACAGAGGCAGAAAACGCCATGCTTAGCTGTTCCTGCCCTGCCTTCACATATCAACTTTACTTCATCAGGTGACTGCTGACAAAGCGGACCACAGACCTGATGAGCGCAGGTCTGCACCTGTCTCTACCTGATGCCGCCCCAAACCCAGGGGCCGTGTGGCAAAGCAGAGCCACGTATGTGGCTGCTGGATATGAGGATGGATGGGCTGGCGGGTTAGGTAATGAGCGCTGTTATTTGCCAGCGCCACTCGGCCATTACCTTAGGCTTCATATGTAAAAGGTGGAAATGTGAGGGGAGGGTACAGCTCAGCGGTAGGGTGTGTGCTCAGCAGGCCAGTCCTGGGCTCAATCCCCAGCAACTCCGCTAAGATTAAATACTTAAATAAATAAACCTAATTATCTGCCCCCCCCCTAAAAAATAAAAGAATTGAAATTTTACAATTTCCAGTGCCTTCTGTGTCTTTATAAAGCACATCAAATTTAGACACTTAAACTTACTTTTTGCTTTATGACCCGTCCGCTTACCAGCTCTGTCCAGAGCACCCCGTGGGCTCTGTCTTTCTGATGATTTCATTTACGTAGCCTTCCATCTGGCCAGCACTGTCGTTACGCCGTTCCCTGTGTCACGGCACGATTTTTGTATTTATTTATTTATTCAATTGGTCTCTTCCAAAGAGAAGCTTCTTGGGACATTTAACAGAATCTTAAAATAAAAACATCTTCATTTGTTGTATTTATATTTTTAACTGGTTTGAACTTCGGACTTCTCAGAAATCCTCCCCGACCTTTCACTTCATTTAGTGTAGACCAGTCAGTTTACCAGAAAAATAAAAACTTGTACTGTCATTATGCAAGCGAGTCCAAGGAGACTAAAAAAGCTTCATGATTAATGCACGTAGTTCTTAACACGGCTACCATCTGTGCTCCACGCGGTCTGACAGTCTGTTAATAATGCATTGGTGTTTGTTTGTATCCCCAATAAGTTCTATGACAGGAAAAGACACCAGAATTATGACCCACTTGTGTAGACTAAGCTGCACGTCAGATGTGAGTCTCCCCTCCTCTCCTCTTCTCTCCCATCCTGTCCAATCCCATCCCATCCCATCCCAACCCATCCCATCCCGTCTCATCTCGTCCTGTCCCATCTCATCCCATCTCATCTTATCCAGTCTCATCCCATGAGATGTTTCACCATTTCATCCATCTATTACCTTAAGATCAAATCCAGTCACTTCCAATTCTTCGATTCTCTTGCCCTGTTCCAGCGGCAAGTTCTGTATTCAGAGCCGACACTCAGCCAGCCGCCCTGGTCCCCCGATGCCGTGATGACAGCTGCTGCCCACACTGCTGCCATTCTGCTTGTTAAATATTTTTAATTCTCTCCAACTCTATTAATTGGCGAAGGTTGTCCCTAAATGTAGTCTTGCTGGATTTGCAATCCTACTTTTTCGAGGGAATCTGCAAGGCTGGGTCCCAGGCTCCCTGCATAGTGAGGAGAAGTCAAAGCGATTCCCCAAGGCTCTGAGAGGTGATGCGTGCGGACGGAGACCGCCGGGGTGGCGGCTGGGCCGGCGGGAAGGAGGCTGGGGGCGACGCAGCCTGACCAGCTCCCTGCTGGGATGTAGTAAACACACAGGTGGGAGTCAGCAGAATCCACAGCCTTCTCTGAAAGGGGTGGGTGCGCAGAGCACTGGCCACCTTGGCAGCCTCGTCCGGAGACCGCTGCTCGTAAGCCTGTGGGCCCCAGGGGCAGGCGCATCTCCCGGCCAGGAGAGCACCTGCGGGCAGGGCCCCACGACAGCCACCAACGCTCCGTGCGCTCCCTCCCTGGCGGGCTGAAGGGAATGGAGTCCAAGAATAGCCTCTTACCTGAAGGGCCTTACAAATCAGTCTGGGAAATAAGAGTGACGTACAGAATGATGCGTCCGTCATCAAACAGGAGAGGATGAGAGAAGAGCGGACACAGGCCGGCACAGTGTCCAGAGCTCCGTGTGTGCTAATTCACGAAGCCACACGAGTCTGCTAGGCAGGGGTTGTCCCCACCTCCCCTGTTACAGAGGGGCCCACAGGGCGTGTGCAGCCTTCCAAGGACTCAGACTCAGGAGGCGGCAGCCCCAGGGATTGAGCCCGATGGCCTGGCCCCAGCGTTGCCGTTTACACCGTGAAAGCTGCAGGTGTTCCGTGGAGAAGTGCCCAGGGGTGGACGGTGGACTGGGGCTGGTGACCCCTCTAGGACTCGGTGCGAATCACGCTCTCACGGGACTAAGGGAAATCACGGGAAGGATGTGGGGCTCCCAGGACTGGAGGAGGCTACGAGCTCTTAGAAGATCGCCTGGCAGGAGGCAGGCTGCGGGCAGGGACCGTAGTGGTGGCACCTCGGGCTGCAGGCTGGGTGCGTCTGCCGTGAGGACTCCCACCTGCAAACAGTCACTTTGCCTTCAGGCTGCTTGTTCAAGGATGAAAGTCACACGTGGTGGGCAAACACCCCCACTGTGGTCGTGCCGCATGGCAACTGGGGGGGAGGGCTGGGCCCCCCATCTCCTGTGGTCGGAGACGCCATACACGCCGGGTCCCCCGTAGTCCCCCCTGCCCACCCCAGACGCTGCAGAGGGAATGAGGGAGGCAGCAACCTCTCACCCGAAGGAGCTGGAGTTACCCCCACAGGATGAGGCGCCCCACGAGGGAGACCCGGGCTGGCAGGAAGCCGCAGGGTGCGCTGTAGAGCCCGCGCAGCCCCGGGCCAGCCCTCCCCCAGGGTCTGGGCTGAGCGGGGCCGGGGTCAGCAGGGCGGGCGTGGATCGCACCAGGACTCCTGACCCAGCAGGTCCGTCCTCGTGGCTCGGACGTGCCCTGTCGTCACTGCGCAGGCGACGCCCTCCCCATAGGAGCTAACCAGAGCCCTGCTTGCCACCAGATAACGGCCACTTAGCAGGAGACCTCAGGGACCTTGCCAAGCTCCACTGGTGCCTGTGTCGGTTCCTGCGGCTGCAGAACCCGTGGTCACACACCAAGGGGCTAAAACCAGCACACGGGTACCCCGCAGTTCCCTGGGTCAGAGTCCAAGCGCTGTCAGTGGAGCCCCCTGCTCAGGAGGCTGAAGTCAAGGTGGGCGCATCTGAGGCCCAGAAGCTCACTGGTTGCAGTGGAGTCAGTTCCTCGCGTTGGGACCCAGGTCCGTGTTTCTGGCTGCCTGCCAGCTGGGGACCATCTCAGCTGTGGGGCGCCGGCTCCCTGCCGTGTGGCCCTCCCCGCAACGTGGAGGTTTGCTCCTTCCAGGCTGACAGGAGCATGTCTCTGCTGCTTGAGTCTGACCTCACTTGTGTTTACTCCAGATCCACGAGGAAGGTCACCTTTGGACACACACTGAGTCAAACAATGGGGAACCTTAACTCCATCTGGAGAGTTCCTTCCCCTCTGCAATACGAGGTGACCTGTCAGGGGGAGACACCCCAGCAGAGCCACATGCTCACAGGTTCTGCTTCCGCCGGGGGGAGGGGACTGCGGGGTGCATGGGGTGCGGGGGGTGAGTCTCAGAGCTGCTCTAGAATTCGCTCCCAGAGGAAGGCGCCAGCCCCTAGTGGAAGGGGTATCCCTGCACCAGCCTCCAAGGTCAGTGAGGTTTGCCCAGCACGGGAGGGAGAGTCGTGGTCCGGGGGTGGAAAGGCAACGCTGCTGAGAGGAAGAAACTCAGGCTACACATGCACGGATCAAGCAGGCTATGAGGGGCTGTGAAAGGCTGATGGTAAGTTCAGGTTTCATTCAGTAAAAAGCAATCATATCTACCTGATATTTAACACAGGGACCACGGATTGGGTCACAGGATCCAATTCCTCACAGTAAAATTCACGAAAGTAAAATTATTCCCTAACTGTATTGTAACAAATACTAGGGTCTAAAAACAGACCCTAGGCAGCCACTTAGTCCTCAGTTGGACCCAAAGCCGCCTGCTCTTAGCGTCCTGCCGTACCTGTCATCAGGAGCCCGGTTCTTACACAGCAGGAGGAGCACGGGACCCCCAAACAGTCATCTGAGGACACCAGATGAGGTGCATTCGCCCAGCCCTCCCCCCGGCCGGCTCCAGCGCCTTGGGCACAGACATCCGCCGGGCAATGGGGTGGGTAGAGAGAAAACGCCAGCGGGGCTCCTGAGCTGTCCTCACTGCGGACCGGCCATCCAAGGGCTCCACCTGACAGCGTCCAAATCCTCGGGGATGCAAACCACAAGAGGTTCACATTGTCTCTTTTTCCATTCTTAATTCACATGGAATTTCGCACAGTGGAAAAATCGGAGCCCAGTTGACCAAGAAGCTCGCTCAGTGTCCCCCCAGGCTCGAGAACAGATCCGGAATCTCCTGTCACACTCAGAGTCGTGGAGGTGCGCCCTCTGACAGCGTTCCTCCGTGACTCTCGTGTCTCCCGTCAGGGGCGTGATGTTCCGACCGGAACCCAAGAGCCTGCAGGCCCACCTTCCACCACGTAGGCGCTCCTGCTTAGCTCGAGAAGGCTGATGTTTATAAATGGCTCTGAAGATGGAAGCCGATACAAGGGCTACACTTATTATTAATAACAGTTCAGATCGGGCCTGTGGAATTCCTGGCTGCACTCGATGACATTTTAATTAAGTTTCTAATTTTACCAGTCGGGGGGGAAAAGAGTTTATTTTTATCTCCAGAGCCTGAAGTCACGTCTGGCTCCCGGGCTGCAGCAGGGCGAGCTCGGGGCGCGTGGGTTCTGGCTAAAGAGCTTTGCTCACGGGTTCACTTCCGTGAGGCTTCCGCCAGCCCGTGGAAAAGCACCCACCACCCCGGCGTCTCCAGGTGCCGAGACACCGCTGCTTCCCGAGACATCACCCAGCAGAAACACTGCCGTCTTGGCGCCTCCTGCTTTGTTAGCCCAGAGGCTGATCGCTCTGGCATCTAAAGATACAGCACACCAGTCAATATAACACAAACCAAACAGGCTCACAGATACAGAAAACCAACCAGAGGTTATGGGGGGAGGAGGGCAGCGGGGGTAAGAGGCACAGACCGTTACGCACAAATGAGCTACAAGGAGGTAGTGCACGACACGGGGAATGCAGCCAATATTTTATCATAACTATAAATGGAGCATAATGCTTAAAAACTGCAATCACCAGTGTACACCTGTAACTTACATAACATTGTACGTCAACTCTACTTCAGCAGCGAAAATAGCCTCCATGGTAAAAATCTGATTTAAAAAAAAAGAAATTGATCATTTCTGCCCCCAAACGGTAGGCCCCCTCCATTTACAGCTTAGATGAAAAACATGAGAAACAATTTTTAGAAAACTTACTGGTTTAAACTAAATGTACTTGTTATTTGTAATGAGTTTTTCCAAGTTAGAACGAGTTAGAAAGAAGTCATTGTAAGGAATTTCCACATGGCTGTTTGCTTGATTTTTTCTAGTTGCTTATTTCGTCACTAATCTGCAGAATTCCAGTACGTCTGGTGGACCACGAGAGCGTCTCTCAGTGACACCCACTCACACACTCGCCGGTGTTTTGGAGATCACGGGGCTACCTTGTCGCCTAATTTTGTGGTATCTGTGGTCCACGAGGTTTTGGTTTGACTGTCCAGTTTGCTGTGTCTTAACATCAGGATTTGGAAAGATTAAAACTGTGTCACCGCCGCTTCCACCTTCAACATCTTTAGGAGAAGTGATTCCTACCTTTGACCACACGCCCAGCCAAACTGCCCGTCAAACAGAAAACACACCGTGACATCTGCTCTCCAGGCCCCCTCCCCCGGAAGCTGCCGGAGGAACACTGCAGCGAGAGAGAGACATGCGTCAAGAAAGGAGACACGCGGGATTTGGAAAATCAGGGGTCAAGACGGAGGTGGAGGGCGGTCCCAAGATGCTGAAGCGAAGCTGGCAGGCAGTCTCCTCACAGGCCGAGGAAGTCGCCGTGGGGTCGGGACAGGGCGTCGAAGGGCGACAGGAGGGTTGTGTCCAGGGAAAAGGGACCTGACAGCGCCGATGTGCCCACTTGTGCTGGAGGTTCTGCAGCTTTGTCAGCATTGCCTGCAAATTCGGGGTCCGTGTACAGAAAACTAAGACAATGAAACGCCTGAATGAAATTCTGAAATTTCACTGAAATGAAATTTCCAGTGAAATGGAAGTTGTGGTTACCTCCAAGAAAAAAGCCATCTAAGAAAGGCAACGTGGTCAGAACACGTATCACGGTGCAATGGTCGCGTGGGGGGTCCTGGCAGTGGAGGACGTGACCTCAGGCTGGCTCCCCGCGGTGCCAGGCGTCCGTCTGGAGTGGCTGTGTTGGAGGCACACGGCTTTTCTCCACGTGTGCTCAGACTGCAGACTATGAACCCCCCTTTATTCTGCTGTATTCATGCTCATGGCTGAAGTAGAGCAGTTTAGGTGCACTTAATTCTTTCTTCATTTATGGAGCACCTTTTGCGTACAGGGGACCATGTGTGTCCGGGGAGGCTGTCCACACACCCCCCCAGCAGGGAGACAGACGTCCAGACCCGTGGTCTCAAACTGGCCGCATCTGGGGGCTTTTGATAAACACTGATGCCTGGATCCCGCTCCACATTGACAGGATCAAAATGCCTGGGCTGGGGGAGGGATCCTGGGCAGCAGCTACTGAGAAAACATCTCCCTGGATGATTTCAATCAACTGCTAGCACTTAGAAACCCCGCTTCGGACAAGTCACTAGGCTGCAGTAAGCGATGCCATCACGGGCGCAGAGGGAGGGACAAACTCACCGCGTGAGGACTGATGCAGGGGAGAGTAGCTTCAAGCACGACAAGGCTGAGGAGGGCTTTGTGCCAACGGCGGGGGGGACTCCAGACAGAAGAGATGAGGGAGATGAGTGGGTGCCTGTGGGAGGGGCAGAAAAGCGTTTCTGCCACCAAAGAATTCTAAGAACAATCCACAGGGACTCGGCCTGCAAATAATTCCAAACCTGTGGGAACGGTAACCAAAGAGGGGCACAGGACGGCCCAGCACCCGGAGGAGCGGAAGCGCTGCCCTGAGGCCATGCCCCCGGTGGGCCACCTGCCTTCTCTCCCCGAAAATGAGACATTTAAACCTCACACCTCCCTGCTCTCTGTTTTTGGTAATCAGGTTGGCTTCACTTGAGGTCCCTGTAACAATAACTGCTTTCAACTGTCTCCACAGCAAGGCATGGCTTTTTTGGCCCCCTCCCCGTTTCCTAAAAGTCTCTTCACACAGGAGTCAAAGAATCTGAGAGCCCTGGTCTTCACCCTAGTCCCGCCGGGGTGGAGGGAGGCATGGAGGGGAGGGCCGTGGGAGTCTGGGCACGTGTGTGGGTGTGGCTGTGGGTGCAGACCCACAGCCTGACTTCAGTTTCGGGGTTTGCCGCCTCCCCGGCCCTCACATTGCCCACTACCAAGCAGCGGCCATGCTGGGAGTGGGTCAGGGGAGGGCCCTGATGACCTGAAGCTGATTGACATCATTCCATCCCCTTGGACACCTACTATGCCAGGGGTCTGCACTTAGCCCAGGCCAAGCCAGTCACCTGACCGCATTCCACCATCCTAGTGACAGACGGGCCAGGAGTGGGCACAGGGTGTAGCCAGGCCAATCAGAGTGAAGGGTCTTTCCCCTCGGATGGGAATGAAGAAGTGGCGTGCAGACCCTGGAGTTTCCGGTAGCTGTTTCATTGTGAGCTTCCCGTGATAGCGCCAACACACTCCGTCATCTAAGGGAGACTCCATTCTGTCTGAGGGAGGCCATTTCCAAAGATGACCACCCACGGGTTTTCCCATCCCGTTCTGCACGAGGCTCGGCCCCACCCCCTGGAGCCAGGCTGGCCATGGAGCCAATTTCTGCAGCAGAATGGGGCAGAGGTGACGGTCCCGGACTTCTGAGCCCAGGCTTTCAGGAGCCAGGCAGTGTCCACGTGACCTTGCTGGGATCCAGCTGCACATGAGAAGCTCAGGCTGACCAGCAGGTGAAGAGAAACTGTGCAGAGAGGGAGGCCAAGCTGCTCCCAGCTCTCCATCCAGCAGGCCGAGACTCAGGGCACGTGACTGAAGTCACCTGAAGCTTCCAGGCCCAGCAGAGCCCCAAAAGAATGTAAGCACACGAGCAACCCCAGCCAACAGCAGGGGGAGCAGAGGAATCTTCCACCAAACTACAGTCCTGAGGAATAATAGCTCACTGTTGTTTCAGCTCCCACGGTTGTGTGGTTTGTTATACAGAAATAGGTAACTGCCCCACAGCGGGCGTTGGGTTTTCTGTTACTTTCGCAGAGGGTCTCAACAGGTTTGTTTCCATAGGGTTAGCGTCAAGGTGCTGTCAGCCGCTAGCAACAGAAAGTCCAGTTCTCTAAGGATATTTTTTCTCTCTCATAAAGCGAAATTCCAAGTTAGGGCAAGGACAGGCGCTTCCCACCTCTCCATGTGGCTGTCCCCACTGTGAGACTGTTACTGTCACATCACAGATGCAAGAAGGCTGCAAAGCACCAGACATCACATCCCACACACTAACACATAACGTCCAGCAGGAAACAAGGAGCATGTTCTCTTTACGTGCCTTTTTACGAGAAAACCTTTCCCAACAGCAGGATTTGCTGGCTTAAATTTGTCTTACACCAACCACGGGAAGAGGAATGGCGTTACGGAGCTTAGCGTGCGTGGACCAGTTCACCCTTGGCTGTGCAGAGGCTGGCTACCTGGGCCAAGGGCAGGTTCTGCCAGCGAGGACAAAGAGGCAGTGGTTGTGGCAGCCATGGCGTCTAGCACGATAGGAAAATAACATTCACCACTGAACAAGAAAGGCACTCCGGAAAGACACGTAGCCTTTATCCTGTGGCCTTGTGTGATCTCCACCCCCCCGAATGCAAATGTCACCGTCTGCAAGGTGGAAGGCCCATCAAAATCTGGCTCTAGCAGTCAGGGTCCTGCTGGAGGCAGAAGGCGCTCCTGGGGGAGATTTGGAAGCGAGTGTGACGTTGGGGCCATCTGCTGCAGTGCAGCTCTGGTTCCACGTCCCATCAGAGGGGCGGTTCTGCGGAGCCCAGCAGCAGCTGGCGGCTGACGCCACCTGGTCTTGGGAGGCACGCGATGGGAATTGCGGTTCCTACAGCCCGACGTGAGTTGTTGCAACAGGAAAAGCAGCCGGACAAGCAGAGTTGGTGGAGGGACAGACGCTGCCCGGCCAGGGCGAGGCCAGGGCACGGAGGAGAGAAGAAATGCCCAGCCTCTTGCTCCCTCGTCTCTGGCCGCAGATGGCACCCTGGCTGGTGAGGATCCGCTGATGATGGCCATGGGCCTCCTGGATGCGGAGCAGGAGAGAGTGGATGTGGATGGAAGGCGGAGGATCAGGGAGTCAGTGGACCAAAAAGCGCAGCATTTTACTGAAGAAAAGCAGTTCAGACCCAGCCGGTCTCGCACCGGCACCATTCAGCGTGGCTCATTCTTAGTCTTCAGTATCTCACCCAGATCGCGTCCAGGGGGGCTTCTCTCCCACACCAGCCAGGGGCAACACTCAGGCGCCTTCTTCTGGGGGCCGGCCGGTCTTCGACCAGCAGCCGAAGCTGTCCTCAGGCCTCCCCGGCTTCACAAGTGGCGGCCCGTGGCGGGGAAACAGAAGTTGCAAACAAAGTACATCCACTAATTCAAGGCTGACCGCGGTTGAGAAGAGAGTTTGTTTCTCGTTGGGGAAACAGAAACACTCCCCGGGACTGAAGTCGGGAGTCTGAGCGAGGGAAACGTTCTCCCTCTCTCGTCTGGTGCGCTGACAACTGCGCGAGGGCCGAGCGCGGCGCCCGGGGCCTGGAGGCCCGCCGGCGAGCCCAGAGCCTTCTCCTGGTGACATCCGGGCGGAGCAGGGGGGGGGGCGGAGGCGGGAGCTGGACCGGCTGGACGGGAGAGGGCGGCATGCCGGGCTGGCGGCTGGTGTAACAGGTTCAAGGCTAATTCCAGCCCCTCACCTCCGCCGGATTACAAGCGCCTGCGACTGGCACAGCTCTGCAGTCCCGGCGCCAGGGGTCCGGGCGAGGGAGACCGCGGGCCTGCAGAGAGCAGCAAGCACGCCAGGTGGGAGACCTGGCGCGAACCTTCGTCCCAGCGCAGAAAAGCTGCGCGACCCCGGGCAGCCGAGGGAGGCACGCCTCGCCCCCTGTCACCTGCAAAGCGGGAGGGGGCCACGCACCGGCCCAGGCAGCCCCCGCATCCCCGCCCCCACGCCCCGCGGGCCCCCTCCCCGACTC